TCTAACATTCTGTGATTCTGTGAAAACATTTTTTAATCAAAGCACAGAGAAAGCCAGCAGTAGTAGCTGAAACCCAATACCTAATCAATCTGGATCTGCAAGAGCCAGAGCTAATCATAACCTATTTTAACTTTATTTGATAGTTAAAGATATGCAGAAAAAAACAGAAGTGTGTGTAATAGTTTCTTCCTAAGAGCAGCTTTAACATCTTTTTGTCAATTCAGATGGTGATTCAACAAACCAGATCCTAAATTCCCTTTCAGCTGGGGAAACAGCATCATAATTCACAAAATATTTGAGGTTTGGGAGCTCATATAGTAGCCATCCTGCCCTTCCACTCCCACACATTCAACTCCCTGAGCAGGAAGGCAAAGACAGGGTTGACAATTTAGTAACCCTGTGGTTATGTTAGCACTCCACTCCTTCTGTCATATGAAATGTGCATCTACCCCCTCTCACCCACACTGGAGGGAGCATCCTCCTCTTCTCAGTGTATACTAATGACACAAACCCAAGAATCTGTCTTCCAATGCAGGGCTCTGGGGATCACACGGCCCATCGTTGGTGTTGAAGACAGAGGCAAAGGTGGCATTACACATCTCACAGAATCACAGAATGTTAGAGATCGGAAGGGACCTCGAAAGATCATCTAGTCCAATCCACCTGCCGGAGCAGGAATACCTAGATCAGATCACACAGGAACGCATCCAGGCGGGCTCTGAATGTCTCCAGCGAAGGAGACTCCACAACCTCTCTGGGCAGCCTGTTCCAGTGCTCTGTCACCCTCACCGTGAAGAAGTTTTTTCTCATATTCAAGTGGAACCTCCTATGTTCCAGCTTGAACCCATTTCCCCTTGTCTTATCAATGCATGTCACAGAGAAGAGCCTGGCTCCATCCTCCTGACACTCACCCTTTACATATTTATAAACATTGATTAGGTCACCCCTCAGTCTCCTCTTTTCCAAGCTAAAGAGACCCAGCTCCCTCAGCCTTTCCTCATAAGGGAGATGCTCCCTTATGAGGAAAGTTGGGGTTGTTCAGCCTGGAGAAGAGAAGGCTCCGAGGAGACTTAATAGCAGCCTTCCAGTACCTGAAGGGGGCCTACAGGAGAGATGGGGAGGCACTCTTTATCAGGGAGTGTAGTGACAGGACAAGGGGTAAAGGCTTTAAACTGGAAGACAGTAGATTTAGACTAGTCATGAGTAAGAAATTTTTCACTGTGGGGGTGGTGAGAAACTAGAAGAGGTTGCCCAGAGAAGCTGTGGATGCCCCATCCCTGGAGGCGTTCAAGGCCAGGCTGGATGAGGCTTTGAGCAACCTGATCTAGTGGAGGGTGTCCCTGCCCATGGCAGGGGGGTTGGAACTTGATGATCTTTGAGGTCCTTTCCAGCCCAGGCCATTCTATGATTCTATGAACATAGAGAGGCTTATTTTGCAAGTCACTATTACAAAAAGTTACCAGGAGAACTGGTCACGTATTTCAAGTCCACATTATTTTTGTGACAATTTGTTGAGATGGCTGTCTGTCAGTTATTCGTATTTGTTTGAATGGTCTCTGTAAGACCATTACTTTTGTTCTCTTCTGGATAAGTAGCTTTAGTAAAAGTAGCAAACAGTGTATCCATCATTCCCAAAACTTCTAGTAGTTCCTCCTGATAGTCGATCTCTTTTCCTATGGCTTCCTGAAGCCTCAAGAACTGTCTATCAACAATCGCTGACTGCCCAACCACAGGTTGATATATGTCTGTAAAGAAAAAAAGTAACTTGAGAATCCACATTGTCTATTAAAATGTGAAAATTATATTAGCTAGTTAGATATGCATTTAATTAGTCTGGCACAAGTCCAACACAGCAAACAAGTAAGACAACTTTAATGGTGTTCTGAAAACAGTGTTGATTGTTGGTATTTACTCACAGTAACAGTAAGGCAAACTAACAGAAACTGATGTTTTTAATACCTCAAATACTATTTTTACTTCATTGGAGAAGCAGAAATCACTTCTACTGCATAACTATAGAAACACAAAGTATCAAAGATCCTCAGAAATTATGAGGAACTTCCTGCAGTTGGTTCAAACCAGATACTGACTGTAGTCAAAGTTATCTGTCAGTATCTCTTTTCGGATCATTCTCTTGACACTGAGTTAATACTTATAAGCAAAGCCAGAAAGCTTCGGTTTCTTAAAAATATACTTTTGACCTTATTTCCGAACTAGCTATATGTCTTTGAGAATCTTTTTTGTGTTGTACTTACCAGTGATCATATCTGCAACAGTCACCAGTACAGGAGTAAATCTAGGCTCAATCACACGTCTGCAAAATTAGAAGACATCCCAATTTTACTGGTTTTGCCAACTGCACTCCTCCCACCAACAATCAGCCTTCTCATACAGGCATACAGACAATTTTTTCTCCATGAAGAGATGTCAGAGAACAGTAGTCACAGATGCGAGTCAAAAAAGCTATATGTGGTATTTACGCTCCTACTTTCAGGAAGGCAGTGGGGGCTGGAGGGCTGGCAAAAGCCTCAGGTACATGAAGATGTGAGTTTCATCAAGGAGACAAAAAACCAGTAGACTATAGGTCTGGCAAATTAAAATATACTCTCTCATACTATCAGCCAGATTTTTTTGTGCTAAGGGGTTCAGCACTATGAGTGAAATCCCAGGCCTTGAAATCAGAAAGCAAAAAGCATCTGAGATTTCAACAGTACCAGTGTTCCACCCATGATCTCTTGAGACTCTGTGGCAAAAGCCATTAAGAAATAGAGGTCTCAAAACAGAGAACTCAGGTTAAAACAATACCTTGCCACAAAGGTAAGAAGAAGATTAATTTGCTTCTCATCTCGGCCTGCAAGCGCACTCCTCAGTGTTCCTCTGCGATGTAGTTCCTGCATGACTGCAACCGTAACTTCAGGAGTATGAAGCCTGATGGGTGGCTGGACATACATAGGAAGAGTTTAGTAGCAAAGCAAAACCTTTATATACAAAACAGTGCTGGTATCAGCAAAACCAAAATGGAACCCTCACAAGTTTGATTGCTTTCTAGTTACACACTGAAATAAAATTAGTTTGACATACAGAAAAAAATCCACATCAGATGACAGCACACAACTCTGAGGACACAAAAAACAATGACTCACCTCCAGTACCGCATCAAGGGCCTTGGAAGACTGAAAGCTCTTCAGCAGCTTGTCATACTTCCTCAAAACACGTTTTACAGGTTTGCTGACACAGAAATCTTCCTAGAATTGGAAGACAAGTTCAGAATAAGACAGACAGACACACAAGAGATTAGATGTATTACCACAAACAAGGTTTTACGTCTTCATACGTTCCCTCTCTCCCCTTTCTTCAACTTAGCATACACTCAAAAAAAAAAAAAAAAAAGACGACATTTTGAGGAACACTTCAGTATACATTTTCTCACCCCCCTATACCTGTTTTGGCATGTAGGTTCTTCCTTTCACATGGGTTCTATACGCTGGTTGTCTCCTCAGAGACTTTTCTTTCCCTTCTTCAGGTTTTCTGTGTTTAACATTTAGCACCCCATTGGTCATGCCTACGACTATGGTTTCATCTTCAGGCTAAAATTAAGAAATCACAGAGTTAGGAACCTAGTGTTTTATTTGATGATGCGTGCCCTACCATGAAGATTTTTAAGGTTTTATGCTTCATGATGAGGGTCTAATCACATTATCATAGAATATCATAGTTGGAAGGCACCTCATGAGGTCCCGTGGTCAAATGCCTTGTTCAAAACAGGGACAGCTTCAAGGCTATGATCATAAGCAATGTTATCTAAATACCTAGAGAGACTACAGCCTCACTACTGAAGCAAGCTCAAATATGCATTAACATCCTTCTGTAAGTAAAATGTATACAGTTTTGTTTTGCTGTTTTTTTGGGGGGTTTTTTTTCAATGGTATACAACTGCCTTTGGCTATTACATGCTATACAGCGGACAAGCACCACCTATGGGAAAGCCATTGTGGAGCATGATTTTGAGAAACAAGTGAAAGCTGTTCAAAATACTAGTCACTGGTATGAATTTCACCTACATAACCCACATACAATTTTACCTACATAACCTACATACAGCCATGACCAGGTTGAGAGCTTATGGGTTAAAAATCAAGGATCAGTCCAGTAAAGGACATCTAGGGGTTGCGGTCTACTACAGGCCACCTGATCAAAGAGAACCTATTGATGAGGCCTTCTTGCTTCAGCTGTAAGAGGTCTCACACTCGCAAGCTCTTCTCCTGATGGGGCATTTCAACCACCTGGATATCTGCTGGGACAGCAACATGGCAGGATGCAAGCAATCCAGGAGACTCCTGGAGTCTACTGAGGATAACTTCCTGGTCCAGGTATTAGATGGACCAACCCGAGGGGAAGCTTTACTAGACCTGGTGCTCACCAATGCAGAGGAGAGCATTAGAGAAGTTAAGACTGGGGGCAGCCTGGGCTGTAGTGACCACGCCCTGGTGGAGTTTGTGGTGTTGAGGAGAAAAATGGGCCTGGCAAAAAGCAGAGTCAGGACCCTGAACTTCAGGAGGGCAAACCTCCAGCTGTTCAAGGAATTACTGAAAGGGATCCCCTGGGAAACTGTCCTTAAGGGCATAGGAACAGAACAGAGCTGGCAGCTCTTTAAGGACACACTTCTAACAGTGCAAGAGCTCTCCATCCCCCAGCAGAAGAAATTGAGCAGAGGAGGCAGGTGACCAGAATGGCTGAGCAAGGACCTGCAGCTCAAACTGAAGGAAAAGAGGGAAATATACAGGAAGTGGAAGCAGGGTTGTGTAGTCTGGGAAGAAATAGTGGTGTTGTCCAGATGTGTAGAGATAGGGTCAGGAAAGCCAAGGCACGTATGGAGCTGAACTTGGCAAGAGAAGTGAAAAACAACAAGGGGTTCTACAAGTACATAGGCAGGAGACAGGCCAGGGAGAGTGTTCCCCCTCTGATAAATGAGACATGGAAAAAGTTGAGGTACTTAATAAGTGCTTTGCCTCAGTCTTCACTGGTGGTCAGGCTTCCCATGTCTGTCAGGACACTGAACGTCCAGGTAAGTGTGAGAGGAGCAGAATCCCTCCCACTGTAACAGCAGAACATGTCACCAAATGTATATAAGTCTATGGGGCCAGTCAATACACAAACAATACGCATCCCAGGGTTCTGAAGGAGCTGGGTGATGTGGTTGCCAAGCCACTCTCCATCACGTTTGAAAAATCATGGCTGTCAGGCAAAGTCCTCAGTGACCGGAAAAAGGGAAACATTACTCCTATTTTTAAGAAAGGAAGAAAAGAAGACCTACAGGCTGGTGAGCCTCACCTCTGTGCCTGGAAAGATCATGGACCAGATCCTCCTCAAAGCCATGTTAAGACACGCACAAGAACAAGAGGTGATCCGAGACAGCCAACATGGCTTCATCAAAGGCAGATCTTGCCTGACCAATCTGGTGGCCTTCTATGATGGAGTGATGGCATC